GGACTTCTTATAGTTCCTTAACTCACCAAGTCATTCTCACCATAGGGCCATTTTCTAGCTGCTTGTGACTGTCTCTTATTTCCTGTTGATTATTTACTCCTTGTCTACCCCATTACTAAAATTCAGACTCCCTAAGACAGGAAGTTTACCTGTCTTGTCCACCCCTGAATACCCAGAACAGTGCCTGACAGGCTGTAGATGCTCAGTTTGTATGTAGAATGAATGAATGGGGAAGAATGCACTGGCTGGAGTTCTGAAGTGAATGGGCTATCTGAAAAAGTGGCCCTTGAGTCATATATGGTTCTCACTAGATGAAATATGGTCCTGTGTTTTTCATCAGTGTCAGGAAATGACTGTGAGCCCCTAGTTCTTCAAGCCTTCTGAATTAGGGCCAGACCTACTGTTTCTAGGGCCAGTTTCTATGCATTAAGCAGTGGCCACAGAGTCATTGTATAGTGTTACACCAAGACTAACATCAGAAAATAAGGTTGTAGAGTGAAGACTTCGCCCTCCCACAAGGTGTCATCCCGATCTCTACACTGGCTTGCTGGGAGGAAGGTGGCCCATGGTAGTGAGGGGCAGAGAACTGTCATGTCTAAGAAACTGTAGAAAGGCCAACACTCTCTAAGAGGGGGATAGAGCAAGGTGCATTTTTGGGGCCTAAGAAGAGCTCTCTGTGTTCCCAATTAACACAGAAAGGGGAAGGACTCACTATAAGTCGTCATTTGACCACAAGGTTAAGGAACTGGATGCCAACCCAACTTTAAAGCAAAAGCACCTGGGAAGAGGTCTTCAGTTTGTAACTTGTCATTGCACTCTGCACTTAACGATATGTGCTCTTTTCTGTGTGTGTGTGATAGATATTTGTTTAAGTTACAAAGACACCTGAGGAGCTCTTTAAAACACACATGCCCAGACATGGGAGACTTCCTTTTTATGGGATTCTTACTTGCAGCCAGGATTCAGAACTATTGATAAAGAGTGACCAGGGACCCCAGCACAGACCCCAGACTAGAAGATAGGGAGCTTAGGCAAGGAGAAAGGATACTGAAGCAGGACTTTGATTATACTTAGAATAATGAAGCTCTCGAAAATCCATCAGAGTAATAGGTTGGTACACATAAAACCTCTGGCTGTCTAAAAAAGGAACCAGTATTTTGAAAATTGAGAAAAAGCCATTGTAGCCAAAGGTTAATAGGCTTATATTTATAAAGAGCTCTTACAAATCAATAAGAAGATGAACACCCAATAGAAAAACAGACTGCGGGACATGAACGGGCAATTCAAAAAGAAGCAATACAATGGGCCAGTCCACTTATGAAAAGTGTTCAGCCTCATCAGTAATCAAATAAATGCAAATGAAAACAACAAAGAGACATTATCTTTTGCCTAGTTAATTGGCAGAGATGAAATACATGATAATACCTTATGTTGGTGAGGGTGTGGAAAAAAAACAGGCATTGTCATTCACTGGTGGGAGTGCAAATTGGCTCAGCCTCTCCAGAGGGCAATTTGGCAATGTGCAAAGCCGAGGAAGATTGCATACCCTTTGACATAGCAATTCCACTTTTAGGAGATCGCCTTAGGAAATAATTGTGGATAATAATAACAATAATAGCTAACCTTTATTAAGCACTCTCTACGTGCCAGGCTCTACACATTATCTCATATAATCTTCACGGCCATCATCCCACGAGGTTGGAGCTATTATTATCACTTGCATTTTAGGGATGAAGAAAGAAACTGAGGTGCAAAAGGATTAAGTAAATCACCAAAGGACACACAGCTAACAAGTTACAAAGCCAGAATTTGAGCATAAGCTATTCAGGCTGGAGCCATATTGCCCTTTGAGCAGTATGCACTGGATGTATAAAGAGATAAAACTGCAAGGATGTGCTTGTAGGGTTGTTTGCAAGTGGGGAGTGAGAGACATGCTGAATGCCCACACACTCACTGCCATCAAGTGCATTCTGACTCATAGCAACCCTCTAGGACAGAGCAGAACTGCTCCATAGGTTTTCTGAGACTTTACGGAAGCAGACAGCCTCATTGGTTTCACATACAGAAAGGAAGATTAGGTCAACCTGTAATCCACTAACGCCTTCCCTAATCCAACAAATTCCCTACAGTGGCTGGTGCTGGTAGGTTTGAATCGTCATCTTTGCATTTAGCAGCCCAATATTTAACCAAATGGGCTATCAGGTATCCTTGCTAACTGCCCCATGGTAGGAATTAGTTACATAAAATTTGATAGACCCATACAGTGAAATATAATACAACCATGGAAAATGCTGCTACCAAAAAAAAAAAAAAATGTGTAAAAATACTGATGTTTGTATATTTGTATATGGACTCCTAGTATGGCACTATAGGATAAGCACTGGACCACAAGGTCAGTTTGAACTAAAATGTTGGTAGTTCAAACTTACCAGATGCTCCTCAGAAACCCTATACATGGTCACTATATGAGTCAGAACCAACTCGATGGCACTTAACAACAACAACAAATATGTGTGTGTACATGTATGTATATGTATATATACATATACATGTACACACACACACAGTTTTTTTAAATGTCTGAAATTGTATGCAAGGAACTGATAAAATTGCTTCCCCAAAACAGAATGATGTGGCTATGATCAGAAATAAAGGAGGTTTTTTTGGTTATTTGCTTATTTTTGGTTTGGTTGTGTGTGTTGTTGTTGTTGTGTTTTTCTAGCCATATGCCTGTCTGCACTTCTTGAATTCTGAATCATGTGAAAAGTATATATAATGAGACTTCAAAAAGTTCATGGATGGGAAAAATTCCATTATCTTTTCATTTCCATTTTTCTACAAACGTTTGAAGTATATATATATATATGTATTTTTGCTGTGGAGTCAATTCTGACCCATAGCAACCCTGTATAGGGTTTCCAAGGAGCACCTGGTGAGCTTGAACCACTGACCTTGTAGTTCAAATGACTTTGCAGTCTGATGCATTAGCCTACAGTGCCACACCAAGACTCCATATATACTTCACATATACATAAATTAGTTATCACTGAGCTAAGTACAACTCATGGTGATGCCATACAAGCTCCATAGGATTGTCAACGGCTAATGTTTCCTAGCTAGATCTCTAGGCCTTTCTTCAGAAGTACCTCAAGGTGCTCTTAGTTCTCCAGCCTTCCAGTCAGCAGTGGAGTACATTAACCATTTGTACCACCCAGACACTCGACACACGTACCATATATAGAGATGAGGTTCTAGACCTTATTCCACATAATTTTGTTATCTTGAAATTCTATTATGGGTTCCAAGAAAAGAAAAAAAGTCAAAGCCCTTCACCTTGTAGAATTTGATAAGAATGTTTCTTTAACTGTTTATCCCTAGGTTCCTTAAACTGACACGCTTATGGAACCCTTTGCTCAAGTAATATCTGTTATCGATTCAAGTCCTATAAAATTTTTTCCTTCTAAATTTGTGTTGTTGTTGACAATACACACAGCAAAGCATACACCAATTGAACAGTTTCTACATGTACAATTAAGTGACTCTGATTGCATTCTTCAAATTGTACAAGAATTCTCATCCTCATTTTCTGAATTGTTCTTCCCCGGGAGAATAAACTCACTGCTGCCTCAGATTCTAGCCTTTAGTGTTGCTGTTATCAACTCGATCCCACTTAGATAGTTCTTAAAACAATATAATGCTCAAGGCAAACTTTCTACTTAGCTAAATTGTTGTTTGGTTTTAAGAAAACTTCAGGGGATATTTTTGGTTTAAGGGTTAAAGATTATCTCAGGGCAGTGGTTTCAGAGTTCATTGACCCTCCATGGCTCCAGAAAGTCTAGAATCCAGGAGAATTTGAAAGTCAGTTCAGCACTTTCCCCCTTTGCTCAGGATTCTTCTATGGAATCGTGTCCTATAGAATTTGGTTTGGGAAATGTTTATTATTTAATGCCAAGGGAGAGTGTTGCATTGTTTCATTAAATGAAAGAAGCTTGTCACTGGCAGTGATTTCATTTTGTTTAATATGTGTGTGTGAGAGAGAGAGAGAGAGAGAGAGAATAATGGGTGATTATGTCGTCTTTTGTTTTTCCCCTGTATGTTTTTAATTTCTGTAATGACCACAATTGTTTTACAAGAAAAATCATTTTTTAAGCCTATGTAAGGCAGTTTTTTAAGGTTTTGGAAGCCAATTTCCTTTTATACTCCTCTGCCCCCTGCTAACCACAAAGTCCACAGTTCAAACTCACACCACTCCTCAGAAGCCCCTATACAAGGTCATTGTGAGGCAGAACTAACTCAGTGGTACTTAAACAATAGCTGTCCCTGGCACCCTCAACTGTAGGTCCTCCCTACTTACAAGCAGTAGGTTAGATTCAAATAGCCACCTCCCTTCCTTATCCTTAAACTCTTAATTAAGTTAGCCTCCCCAGGGTTGGGGTCACTCCTCTGCCCGCCCTCCATGGCCATGTTATGATGCCACTGTTAAGCTACAGTTCCCGTTAGTCTGAGCTTCTTGGAGGCAGAAGCTTGCTCTCCCTGTGTCCTCTGAGCCCAGCACAGGCCTGAGGGCCAGGGGACAGGAGTAAAATCATGAACACTGAAGTCAGGAAGACATGGGTTTGAATCCCAGTTCTACCACCTTAGGGAAGCGATTTCATTACTTTGAACCTTCGTTCTCCAGTTCTCTAGTAACTCCAGTTCCTTTTCTAGAACTGGAGTTAATCATTATGAACTCAGGGGGTTATTGTGAAGATTTTATGTAAATGTAATACCATTCCAGACACTAAGGAAGCTCTCTCTAAATGGTCTAATAGATAAATAGTGTCATTGTAGACTCCGTCAATGTAGCTGGATTAAACTAGGAAAGGGCACCAAGAGGAGTGATTCCCCAGACTCACCCCGATCCCCTCCAGACCTGGTCCAAAGGCAGTGGCTTTACCATCCACTGCTCATTCCCCTACCACCAGCATGCTCACCAACCACCCTGCCTTGTGCCCCTACAGCCACCCGACCCAAGCTGAAGAAGATGAAGAGCCAGACGGGACAGGTGGGTGAGAAGCAATCGCTGAAGTGTGAGGCAGCAGCCGGTAACCCCCAGCCTTCCTACCGTTGGTTCAAGGATGGCAAGGAGCTCAATCGCAGCCGAGATATTCGCATCAAGTATGGCAATGGCAGGTGAGCACCATTCAACCCTTTCTCCAGCCAATCAACTGCCTTCCCTATTCCCTGAGATGGAGGGACTTGAGCTAGCCCAAGCCTGGGGCAGCACTCACTCATGGAAACAATGCCAACAATCCCTCTCTGTCTACTGCCCACCTTCTTTGCCAAGCCCAACCTTCTTCCTGCAACTCTTGGCCCCTCTGGTTATGGGAACCTGTGAAAAACTAGAGTGGGAGCTAATGACCTGTGATATCCTCCAGTTAGGAAAGAAAGAACTGGTCACCCCAGAAAGTGATCCACACAGTATCTTACAAACTGTAGATAGCAATGAATGCCTCTGGATGGTTGAAGGCAATCTGACTGTCAAAGTCAGCTGTACCTGTGGATTAAGGATCTGGAAGCTCACCCCACCCACATCCCTAAAAGGTCTTCTTAAAGAACCTGCATGGTGTCCAAAAGCCCCACTATTTGGTAATCTCTAGAATTCCTCTAAGGAGCTCTGGTAAAATAGTGGTTACGAGTCAGGCTGTTAACCTCAACTATCAGCTGTTCCACAGGAGAAAGATGAGGTTTTCTGCTCCCATAAAGATTTATAACCTCAGAAACCCTACGTAGTGTCACTATGAGTCAGAACCGACTCCACGGCACACCGCCATCACCACCACACAATGCCTATGGGAGGTTACACATGGTGATGATCACACATGAAATCTGTTTTCACCTATGAAATAGAAATCATCTAATTAATCATTGACTCAGTACTTCTGAGTCCTGGTGTGGCGCTGTGGGCTGATGAGTCAGATTGCAAAGTCGTTTGAACTGAAAGGTTGGTGGTTCAAGCTTACCAGCTGCTCCTTGGAACAGGGTTACTATGGGTCAGAATCAACTCAACGGCACTTAACAACAACAGCAACAGTACTTCTGGGAAGCAAATCGGAAGTGCTCTGAATCTCCAGATTATCTAAGATGACCTCTCTTCCTGCTTGGGTTGATAGGGCAGGAGAGCTTCAGACAATAAAGAAACCAAGAATCCAAGAGCAGCCTCCCCACCTTCCTCCTGACGCCTTCCCCCAATTCCTGAAGGGCTATCAGAAGGCAGGACAAACAAGAGGGCTAAATACAAGTTCTGTCTAACTTCTATCCAGTCAGCCCTAGGGAAGTAGACTCCATTAGGTGGCCAAGGAACACCACCCTAGTCTTTTTCTGCTGCATCTAGAGCAGCTTACACCCACCGCTCTTTTTGGTTGTCATTTTCTTCCTAACTCTTCACGAAATGCCAATGAAGATGATTTTTGAGAACCATGCCCAGCCCTCCCCACAGCAGAAAGTGATGGAAAGAAGGCCTGGGTCCAGGCTGCCCTTAGATGGCTCTGTGGTCCTGGATGTGCACATCCTGCCTCTGAACCTTAGTCTCCAGAATATGTGAAAAGAGTGTGTTGGAGCAAATGATCTATGATGTTCTCCCAGTTTGGGAAGAGAGCTGCTCACCCCAGGAAGTAATTTAAGAAGGATTTGGTTTAGATAAAAAAAACTTGTGGCTGAAAGAATGTTGTTTCTAAGGAAATTAGTCAGGGCAGGGGGTATATCTGATGTGTCCCCAGTTGGCAAGAATTTAGACTATCCTTCCAACTCATTTTCTGGGGCCACCGCATCCCTTCTCACTGGCCTGTCAAGACTGGCTGCAAGTTGGAGAGAAGAATTGACTGCTTTCTTGGGTCTGTTGGGGACCTTGTCTCCCTCCTGTCCTCTTTTTCTAGAAGATGACCTCTCAGCCCACTTCACTGAGACAAAAGAAATCAGGAGAGAATGGCTTCATGACTTCCAAGCATGTCCATAGCTGGGTCCATTCTCATGTTCCTGTTTTTGAACCCAGTGTCTCACACGCCACACCCTCCTTGCCCTGGTACCATCAACAAACTCCTTTTTCTGGTAACCTCAGACTTTGTCGTTCTACCTGCAAACCCGTGCGTATCATTTCTTTTCTACAGTGCTTCCCTCCACCTTGCTGTTTGCTCTTCTTCCTCTACCTATTGCCCTGTCTTCCTTCTGCCCTCAGCTCTATATGGAGTCAGCTGAGGGAGTTAGTTTACTCTCTCATCTTCTGCTCACTTTCTGCCCTGCTGGAATCTGCTCTTAAAATGCACCCTCAACACTTTCTATGGGTGTGGCTCTTGAGAGACCCTAGCAACCTCTGAATTTCTTGGCCCCATTTCTCCAAGCCTCTCAGCAACCATTATCAGGGTACCACCTGCTTCCTGAGCTCCTCTAGTGCTTCCCTGAACCTACACCCAACCTTTATACCACCTCAAGCTAGCACGAGGCCTGATATAGAATGATCTTTCCAAGTTGGACACATACTCAATCATTCATTCATTTACTTGACAGCTATTAAAAGTCTCCTATATATGGAGTCTTGGTGTGGCACGCATGGTAAGATAAGCACTGGACTGCTATCCACAGGTTTGTTTGGTTCAAACCCACCAACTGGTCATTAGAAACCCTATACAGAGTTAGTATGAGCCAGAGTCAACTCAATGGCACTTAACAACAACAACAACAACAACAACAATATATGCCAGGCACAGCCCTGACTCTTAGCACAGTTCTGAGAGCAGAGGGACTGAATGCACACTCCTCCCCACAGGGGCCTAGTCCCAGCTTCCAATTCTCCTCTTTGTGGCCTTTGAGTCTGCTGGTCCCAAATACCTCTGTGCTCTAAACCACTGGTCAAATATGTCACTTCGTTTCATGACTCTGGCCTTGGGTCCAGGCTGTTCCCTACACTTGAAGCTCCCTTTCCCCTCTTGTCCCTGGCAGAGTGCTCTAATGTTTCAAGTCCCACCTTAAATGCATCCTCTGGGACTTGTTCCTGAACCCTCCAGGCAGATCTTGTTGTATTCTCCCATGGTACCTTAGAGGTGGCTCCATTGCATTGTTTAGGGGGTGGGGAGACTACTTGGGTCTGTCTTTCTTGCCTGCACAAAAGAGTCTCCCATCCCCTATACACACCCTTGTCCCCTTGAGCCTAGCACAGAGGAGATCTACATTAAATATTAATTGATGTGAATCCTACAGGGCTAGCTTTCCTCTCCTAGGTACTAGAGTGGCTGTGAGTTGGAATCAACTCGATGGCATTGGGTTTGGATTTTTTTGGTGCTGTTTTTAAAAGTCTGAAGTGTGCCCCCTTCCACCTAACCTGTCCTTGTCTTTCAGGGCCCTGTCCATTTAGCTGGGGCATCTCTTGAAATGTCTTTGTCTCACCTATCTTGGCTCTGGTCTCCCAGCTGTGAGTCCTGAATACCAGAAAAGTAGGCTATGATAGGAAATCTTCTGATTCTCTGTGACCAAAGTCCCCTCAGAGAAAGCGGCCACCTTCACACCTACCCACCCTCACTCTCACACTCACCTCACCTGGTGTGAGCTGGAGTCTCCTTTTTGGCAAAATCTTCTCCTTCATCCCTGTCTACTGTAGCTTGCTTTTCTGCCCTTCTGGCATGCTGCCTGCCCAGACCACACTGTGTCTGGACATCTTTACTATCTGTCTCTGTGCCACTGCACTGAGGCATCTCACTCAAGCCTTCCTGTGCCAGGATAAAACTGCCCCCCCCCCCAGCAGCCCTGGGCATGGGGCCCTCCTCTACAGAACCACATGTTCCCTTATTTATGAGGGGCAGGCTGGGACAGGCCCCTCCAGCAGGCAGCAGGAGGTAGGCACTGAGGAAAATGTGGGGACGGGTGGAGGATGTAGCCGCCCAGATTCCATCCCTGTCAGCAAGGAACTGGCTGGGGAAGGATCAGAGGGGTCACCATTGCAGGGGGCAGGCCTGGGTCCGTATGACTGGGGCCTGCCAGAAAGGCCAGAGAGAGTCCTGGCTTCCTCAGGCTCCTGGATGGAGCTGGGAGTGAAGAGAAGAAACATTTTATCTATAGAGGCTCCACCTTCCAACTCTGACCCCAGAGCCTCTTATGCCTTTCTAGGGCCTACCTCCTGGAGCTGCCGAGATCATCATACTGTTGGTAATCCAAGATGCCTATAGCCAGCAAACCTAGGGACCATTTATTTTATTTTCCCCTTGTCTATAAAGAGACAAAGCTGTCCCTGAGCCTTGGGTGTCACACCTTCATGTCTGGAAACCCTCCCTAAAAGTTCCAGTTTTCATCCCTCCAGATACCCCTGAGCCTCACTCCATTTTGTGCTGCTACATAGGGTGACATGTAAGGGAAGCTCCATTGAACAAGGGGTGAGTAATAACAAGGAGGCTGTTGTTCTGTGTCCCCTGCAGCCCTTAGATGATCTCCTGTCCTGCTCATCTGAAGTGCAGGGAAGTAAGAGGAGCCTTGTCCCAGCAAAGCTGGGCTTGGTGACATCTAATTAGACTAGAGTCAGAGAAGAGAGGGACTTCAGGGCTCTGGTTAATGAAGGGAACAAACTTTACTTGACAAAAGAGGGTTGTAGGAAGGTACCAGGACAAAGAGAAAGACTGGCTGGGAAGGGTATTAGGAAGTTAGACAACTGCCACCATGTCACCATAACAACAGGCCCTTTTTTGACAATACAACTTGTGGCATCATTGCTTGGGGAAACTTGGGTGAAGAGATCTGGGAAGAGACACCATCCCAAAGGCAGAGCCCTGGAAAGGGATGGTGGGTCAATTTGCAGCCTCCTCTGCCCCTCTGCCCAGCCTCTCTGCTCACCTCACCCCTCCCGTCAGCTTCATGGTTCTGTTTGACATCCTTGAGGCTTAAGGCAGCAGCAACTTTACTACTTCAAGTTGCACTATCTCCTCCAACCCACTATGCATATTCTGGGAATCTGATGTTTTAATTCAGGATTACTAAAAAGAGAAGGAAGCCACATCATGTAAAGACATCTTCATGCTACTTCTTGTTTCTCCTTGGGGGCCAAGCTGGGGTCCCAGACCTTTACTCAGACCTCCCTGGAGAGCATGTCAGCAGAAGTGGGTGGGAGCTTAGAACAGGCCCAGCAGAGTTTTCATTCTGATGGGACAGATGCAAGGAAACTCTAGGAAACAAAGGGATTTGGCAGAGGACTTCAGAAAGACATGGAGTCAGGGGCAAGGGGACTATGCTATGCCCAGGCCCCATCCCACAACTCTCAGCATACCTGGGCCAGGGTCAAGGCACTCCCCAAAGTGGGCTAGTCCAAGCCTCAGCCACCCAGAGATAGCCCATGGGCTGCTGAGGGGCATATGTCTCCACCAATTCCAGCCCTTGGTCCGCCACTGCCTTTGCCTTGCTGTGTGTCCCCAGATGTGTCAGGATGCTCCTCTAGGACTGTTTTCCCATGTTTAGGAAGGGGCAGAGTTCTACCATGCTCAACTCCAGATTGGCCCTAAGAATCGAGTGAGTACGCAAGGACCAGGATCTTTTTCTTCCTGAAGTATCCAAACTCCCTGCATACTGAAGGCATACAGAAAACATTTGCTGAATGAATGAATGTAGCTAAAGTCATTAGAGAGGACAGAGTGCTCCTTAGTGGCAAGGCTGATCTGAAGTGAAGGCAGGAAAAACCTGGACTGAGAGTCTGGGCACAGTTGCTATGGGAACCCATCACTCCAGGTACTTGGGAATAGGTCCAAGTCTTACAACCCCTGGGACCTTCACCTGCCACCCTCCTATCTAGAGTGGCAGACTGCTCTTCGTAAGAGAAGGTTGGGCAGCTGATTAGCCAGTGGTCACCCTATGGAGGGAAAGAAGTAAGGACTCTGAAAGAACAGGAGTAGGAGTGGAGACTATGTGACTTCTTGAGGGGCTCACATTTTATCCCCCTCAAAAAATAGTTACAAAGAAGGTTTGACCCTGAGAATATTCACAGATTTAGAACATGTGGGTAGCATGAGCTCTGCCCTGTGTTTCCCTGAGGACCCAAATCTCCTCCCATTCCCAGGATTCAGGGTTTCACCTGGGCCCCAGACATGGCTGTTCTGAGGATACCTATTTTCTACCTACCCTGCAGGGCTACTGTGGCTCTGTGGAGAGAGGTGACTGGTGAACAATGGTGGGGAACCACAGCAGGCCTGGGCCCTACTTCATGCCTCTCCCCCTCTTATCTCCTCCCTAACCAGAAAGAACTCACGACTCCAGTTCAACAAGGTGAAGGTGGAAGACGCTGGGGAGTATGTCTGCGAGGCTGAGAACATCCTGGGCAAAGACGTGGTGCGGGGCCGGCTCCACGTCAACAGTGGTAGGTGGTCTCCTAATGAAGGGAGGGGTCCTAGAGGGGATTGGCAGGGCAAGCCCATTGCCCCCAGCCTCGGGAGGCCTGCACATGATCCATCTTGCACTGGACTCCCTCCCTCCTGCTGCTGCCATATCAAGCCTGAGATCTCGGCCAATTCAGAGAAATGCAGTCGAAGCATAAATGTTTAGCTTTGTTATCTGGGCCTGGAAGAGCCGCCAGCTCTCATTTTAAATACCCTGAAAACTAAATATTTTGAAATCAAGAGGTGGGGGTGGGAGAAAGGATATTTTTAGAAGGCAATTACGGGAGGCTGGATTGCCAGGAGCCGGGCTGTGGGGAGAGACAAACCCAGGGTGTAAGCCTGTGGCCTGTTGCTGAGGGGGTCGGGGAGGGGAGCACCCAAATTCGGGAAGCCTCCACTGGGCCATGGGATGGGAGGTTTGGGAGCTTTGGGCCCCTGAGAACAGCCCTCTCTCCCACAGTCATCCTATCTTGAAAGGCTCACAAGGTCAGGACCTCACTGAACCCCCTCAGCTCCCCTTCTCCACAGCAGCAGTTCTAGCTGCAGGAGAGGAGGACGCCTGCCCGCTGGGTTATACCTGCTCAAGCTCTGGTTCTTTCCCTTGACTGTAAAGTCGCCTCACCTCTCAGCCAAAGTTTCTGTAGGCCATGCCCACTGCACTCTCTTCTTTCCCAGAAAGCACAGCCTGAGGACTCCACACCCCACACATCTCTGCCCTGCTCACAACACTCAGGGACTAAGCATGTTATTTGGCTCCCTATTTAATGGGGTTCACTTCCAGTCCTGCCCCTGTCACAGAATCACAGTATCTGTAGCCACCTGCCTGCATTTTTTTATAGGTTGTTGTTGTTGTTGTTAGGTGCCATCAAGTCAGTTCTGACTCATGGCGACCCTACGCACAACCGAATGAAACACTGCCCAGTCCTGCACCATTCTCACAATCATTGTTATTGAGAGCCCATTGCTGCTGCCACTGTGCCAATCCATCTCATTGGGGGTCTTCCTTTTTTAAGCTGACTCCAGCATGATGTCCTTCTCCAGGGACTGGTTGCTCTTGATAATATGTCTGAAGTATGAAAGACAAAATCTCACCATCCTGGCTTCTAAGAAACATTTTGATTATACTTCTTCCAACACAGATTTGTTTGTTCTTCTGGCAGTCCATGGTACTTTATAGGAAGCCTTTTATAGGTAGCCTTCCAATGCTCTCTAAACCCAAGGTTACCTAAAAGAGAACTTGCAACACTCCCTGCCTGAGAACCCTCAAACAAAAACTTGGCTCAGATCCTGTTGGTCAGACATACCCCTGTTCTCCCAGTCTCTGGGACTTCTTGGTCACCCTAACCACTGTGTCTAATTAGTCTTCATTTCCAAGTCCTGGTCATTCTTTGTTCTGTATCTCTCTCATACCTGTTCCTTCTATTCTAACCCCACCTCAAGGACGACCTTGGTCCAGATTACATCCTATCACCTGAACCATAGCACTGATCTTATGATGCTTTCTCATCCTGTCCTGCCCCCACTTCATGGAGCCACAGAACAAGGCCTGCATACCACAACCCAGCTCTCAACAATCTGGCTCTGCTGCCGGGCCAAGCATAGCTATAGTTGGTCCCCTTTATGGCAGTTCTGATTCTGTCTCCCAGGCAGCTTTCCTCCCATAACTATCCAGCAGGGCGACTCCCAGCACAGACCCAATTCCTGGGCTACTTCTTGGCTAATTGCAGTCTCATGGCATCTCTTAAGTTCTAACTTTATATTATTCTTCAGCTCTAGCTTGTTGAACTTTGTGGGTATGACTTCCCCATGGAAATTTAAACTTCCGGAGTAGGGAAACCAGAGATTATGCCTTCTCCCCAGGAGTAACAATAATAACTACTAGTAATTGAAGAGTCTCTGAGTAGTACAAACTGTTAACATGCTCAACTGCCAACAGAAAGGTTGGAGGTTCGAATCTACACAGAATCACCTGAGGTGATCTGCTTCTATAAATCAGCCATTGAAAGCCCTATGGAACACAGTTCCACTGTGAATATGTAGAGTTTCCATGAGTCAGTCAATTCAACAGTAACTGGTTTATTTTTGAGGCCGTACTCTGGCAGGCTTTGCATTATCTCGTGACCCCTTACTCAAGAATCTGGTGTATTTTATACATTATGAAACCGAAGCTCAGAGAGGTTAGGTATTTCACCCAAAGTCAAACAGCTAAATAGAGATATAGCTATACAATGAGGCATTTAGATTATGAGCTCCACAGGGTCATGTGTCTCTTGTTTACCCCTCAGGGCCTAGCATGGTGCCTGGGACATTGTAACTGCCTATTAAATATTGCATGAAAATCTTACAACCTGTTCCAAGGTCTTTACTAACTCCCCCATACTCTAGCCCAGGCACGATTCAGTAGAGGGTACCTGGACACCCTGCTTCTCTCAACCAGGGACCTGGACAATGAATATCCCTGAAGTTCAACACCTGTCACTTCTTAGCCACTTTGGATTTGAGGTTTTTCCTGTTTTATGATTTCCTACCAAGACTTTCTTGGGTACAACCAGTAAAAATCCACTTAAAACAATCTTAAGGAGTTTATTTGCCTATAAAACTGGGAAATCCACAGGTAGAACTGCCCCCTGATACGATAGAGTCCAAGAAATCAGGACACTGTCTCCCATTGTGTGTTGGCCTTATTGTCACCAGCTGTAAAATGGGCTTCTCCTGTGTGTGGGGAATAGTGTGGGAAGAGAGGCCACGGCCTCAGACAGCTCTTACAACACCCCAGCCAGCTGCCCAGATAAAAAGAAATGGCTGTGTCTCTGTGTCTACACACAGGGATGGATGCTAATTAGGCCTTGCTTGGCCAATCACTGTGCTCTGGAGGGTGGGCTACTATCTTTGCCAGGCCTGCGTCACACCCTCACTTCTGTGTGTGTACCGAGGGGTTACTGAGAGGCAGAGCGCTGTGCTGATGACCTTGCCAGACTCTCTAGGGGCCCTTAGCTATTAGCAGTGGAAGCTGGAGGACTGGCATGCAGAAAGCCACAGTAATGCCCTCTCTCTAGCTCAGGGTCTGGGGCTGAAACTGGGAAATTTGTGAGACACCCTTCCGCGCAAGATAAGCTGCAGCCCTGCCCCACACCACACCAGGCTCTTGTCAGCCTTCCGGGGTCTATGCTCTAATCAGGTTGGAAATCAGACAGTAGAGCCTTTGGGCCAGGAGTTAAGGACAGATCTGGAATCCCAGGCCTCCCACAGGGGTCCTTGTCCCTTGTCTCTCTAGGCTGGTAGGGGAGCAGCAGGATAAAGCAGCAGAAAGAGAACAGAGATTTGGTTCAATAGAAACTATGTCATGCAGTTCTAAGCAAGCCACTCCACCTCCCTAGTCTCTGGCTTTCCCATCTGAAAATCATGGGGCTGGATATGTCCCTAAGTCCTTCATCCTAAACTCCTAGGATTCTGAGTTTACTTTGAGATTGAACCACCACACACTCACATGCGCACACACATACACACAGCACACACCTCCTCTGCTGCCCTGGCAGCCAAGAGCCTGAATGTAGGAAGGTAGTCAGGGTCTCTGCAGGGGACCAGGATGCCCCTGCTGGGGAATTTGCCTAGACAGAGATGCCCAGCTTCTTGTTTACCCAAAGAACCCGTAGACCTGCAGCAACCGCACCCTGGGGAGGGGGTGAAGGGCGGGCATTGGACAGCTTTGCCTGCCCCCCTCTGACTCATCCCAAGGTGGGTTGGCATGGCCCGCCCAGGCCCTAGGGAATCCAGAGCTACATGGGTGGGGCTGCCAGAAGAGAGTGGCAGGGCCAGGGAGGAACAGTGGGCTCCTCCAGGCTCATCACTTCAGCCCCTGGCTGGCTTAGTGCTCTTTTTGGGTGAAGCCCAATGCTCTTCCTCCAAATCAAAGTAGGTCCCCCTTGAAGGCATAGCTCTGCCAGCTCAAATGATGTGTCGTCTTCCTGAGCAGGAGGAGTCTAGAAGAAGTTTGTAGAGCTTATATCAAAACAGTCAGTTTGTTCCAACCCACTTCTGAGTTAGAGAAACCGCCTTATCCCCAGGTAAAAAGGAACCTGGGAATGTCCTGGGGTTCAGCAAGCACTGTTCTGAGTTCAGGAAGTCACAATCTTGGTGCCCCAACAAAGAAGCTAAAATCTGAACTCCAAAGTTTCTGCCTATTCTAACAGAGAGAAGAGGTAAAATCAGCAGCTTTGCAAAAGGCAGGGTGGGAGGCAGCTACCAAGCAGGTGAAGGGGAGTCCAGATGCATGAAGAGACTTTTGACCTGGGCCTTGACAAATAAGCAGATTTTCTTGGTGTATGAGGGGGAAGAGCAGTTGCAACAGAATGAAGCAGGGAGAAGGTATCTCCACAGCATCAATTCTCATCTTGGTATATTCTTACTCATTGTCATTGTTGTTAAGTGCCGTTGAGTCGATTCCAACCCATAGTGACCCTGTATAGAGATTCCGAGGAGCAGCTGGTGAGCTTGAACCACCGACCTTGCAGTACAAATGACTTTGCAGTCTGACGCATTAACCCACAGCACCACACCAGGAGTCCTCTCACTCATTAAAGGCCCTGGTAAACTCATACAACCCAAGACTCTAATGGTTGATAACTTCCTGGGTTAACCCCTCCAGAACATTTTTTTTTTTTAATTTGATAAAATTTAAATATTATAAATATAAAATTCACCCTTTAAGAATATACAGTTCAGTGGGTTTTAGTATATTTATAAAACAACCATGCCCATAACTAATTCTAGAACACTTGCATCATCCCAAAGAGAAGACACCCATCTGTTAGTAGTCCCTTCCCATTTCTCCCTCCTCTACCATCTAGTAGCCATTATCTACAGCCTGTCTCTATGGATTTGCCTATTCTCAACATTCATATAAATGAAATCATATCATATGTAGCCTTTTGTCACTGACTCTTGCACATGACATAGTGTTGTCAAGTTCATCCATGTTGTA